AATAAATGCAGAGAAAAGTTCTTGTACAATATGTTTTTGAATAGTGCAGATAGTGAATTAAGACATTTTAAGCTGAAGAGTATATTCATGCATGACAATGGTCTCTCACATACAGCAAATCTAATTATTGTCTATGTTGTCATGAATTTCAAAATAACTTTTAGCATCTTCATAAATTAAACCAGTAGAAAATTTGTATACTATCATCTATATGATAATAGCAAACAATATTTCTGGGAAGCAAAAAAAAAAAAAAACCTTTGACAGTTAAATTTGAAACAGTAGAAATGTTAACAAAATCTATGAAAACTGATGAAAGAATGTATATAATATCAAGGAACACACATTAACATTAATTCATTCAAGTATAACTGATATTCTATTAATGACATATATATCACTGTGGTTTATATCTTTGGGGATTTACCTTCTTTTTGCATAAAACTTTCGGCCACTTCCCAAACAATTATCATATCTTTAATAAGTATAGACATTATAAGCTAAAATATATGGCTAAATATATGGCTCATGTAAATATAAATGTATACTAAAAACTGTACCAATTTCGATCGGTTAATAATGATTTTACTTTGAAAACTGCATAATAAAATCTTTGAAAGATAATCCTTGTAGTGGTCAGATTAACTGTCTTACACCAATAGACCAGGTTCTGGAAGGTCACGTAAGTGCATAAGTGGCAGAAATCACATTAAATATAGCTTCATGAATATCAGATCGGATAGTTGGGAATGGTTAATTGCAGTAAGATTACGAGTACTTAATCCAGATGTCAAAATACGTCCCAATGACGTCGTTCCCGTTACTATTGGTATTGTGTCATTTTCGTGTCAGATTGTGGAACGTTACTTTCCAGATTACAGTGGCTTACAAAAATAGGCCCAGTTCTTGGCATCATAGTGTAGAGCGGCATAAATGAGAACTTTCATTTGATTTTGGTGTTTGCAGAAAACAACGTTGGCCTGGACCTTCAGAATATTGGTTAATCTGTTCTGCTGCCATTCCTGAAACATGAATGCGACACACCGTTCCAGAGCACCCTAGTCAATAAAGCCCATCTTAGTAAGCATGCCCTGTAAGATTGTCAACAACTTCCACTGACTGCACAATGACCACGCCTGACTCCAATTGAACATATATAGAACATGATGAAACGACGCCTGTTAACTCACGTAGAATCTTTGTTATAATTACTCAACATGTGTAAGAAGTATGAAATCATGTACAGTAGTAAGTATACGCTATCTCTTTAGAGGTATACACACGAGAGTACCAGCCAATTTTAACGCACAAGGACGATATACAGTGTATTAATATAGGGCCTGAAGAGTGTTGATACAATTCTTAATTTTAAATGTATAATTTATTTATATTAATTCCAAGTTAATCCTGAGTAAATTGAAAAATACTCTGATTGTTAAAATTTTAATTTCTTTCTCAGCTGTCAGTATACACTCCCCATATATATATATATATATATATATATATATATATATATATATATATATATATATATATAAGTAAAAAGACAAATAGAAAAACGTTTGCGAAATTTGCGTAGAAGTTGGCTTCCTCATAAGGCTTGACAATTATTTATTCATATTTTTTTCGAATTGACTGAATTTTCCCCCATTCAAAGAAAAGCATTTCATTAAATTATCACTTAGATAATTCTTTCTTTTCATATTTCGGTACTGATTAGGGATCAGGACAATTACTATATCACAGCTATGAGTGATCATTTCTAAGAAAAGAATAGTTTGAACGTATCCACTGTGTTAGTATACATCTGCTATATTAAGCATTTATATATGTTTTGAATTATTTCCAAACGGTATGAATAATGTATTTGATTGGGAAAATTTTCACTCATTGTGTGTGGAATATATGGATCTATCTAATCTATTTATTCATCTATCTCTCTATCTATCTATCTATCTATCTATATATATATATATATATATATATATATATATATATATATATATGTGTGTGTGCATGTTTCATTAAAACGACAGACAAGGTACTACGGTTAAGCTTTTTATTTAATTATTCTAGTGTTTGCAGAAGAGCTTTCCTTTTTGGACACAGGGTGTGTAGAAACTGTCCAAATGTTCTGTAGATACAGATACAAAATAGCAGTAATAAAAAAACTTCCTTAAAAGAGCGCACCAGAAGTTATCCTCTTGACTACTCTTCCTTAAAGAACTCAATAATGTAAAACAGACACTAATTAACAATGGCTTCCCTAACCTCCTTATAGACTACCAAATTAGACTATTTCTCCCTAAAATAAATAAGAATGATTGTGAACATACAGTCAAAAATTAAATAAATACTTTCTACAACAACCAAATGCACAGTAACTACAAACAAGACGAATCTTCACTTAGGAATATTATAAAGACACACACTACCCCAATCGAAACGAATAAAGAAATCTAATAATCTACTATAAAAATTTAAGACCGCTAACCTTATC